TGTCGAGTTCAGGTTGATTTACAGCCACTGCCTGAAGATGCCTTCGGATGCTGTGGGCAGCATGCAGAACCCGACGAACCTGATGTCCATCGATGCAGACGCCTGTCTTCGAGATGTCGCTTCATGATCACATGACCCGTCTTTACCTTGTAAAAGAGCTAAAGGCACCTCAAGGGTTGTCTCTGGTGCAAGAGGAGAGTGTCAGCTCGTTCAAGATGTCCCTGGGCATGTTCTCGGCAGACCTGAGTGTGGACTAATTTCGCGACCACGTTCAGCTTTCGAAGTGTCTCCAGCACCTTCTGCAGCATGTCCATCAGTGCGGCTCACTTTTTCCTCCGGCACATGGCGTGCCTGCATGATGCCCTAGTTCGTTTTTGCCTCGTCTGAGGAGAAGCCCCACCAGACCTTCATGAACATGATGCCGCACGCCTTCGTGTTGGCCGGGCCCTCAGAGTCTAGGAGATCAGAACCGATCTTGCGTGAAACCATACTATACTCTGTCTCCATCACCCTCGTTTGCCCCGCTTCCTCCGTCGCTCAGGTCTGCATCGTGCCATGTCCATGCTACCAACCCATCCATTGGCCAGTGCATCCATGCCCAAACTATTTATTAGCGTATGTTTCCGTGCAGAAACATCGTTTTCTTGTTGTTGTTCTTCGCGGCACATATCATCGTAACGCTAACGCCATGTTGAGCTGGTGAGCAGTGTCAACATGTGAAGGTATCGGTCCTGCCATGCCTTTCCAACATTGTCAGAAGCCAGGGTGAAAGAGCACATTGCGCAGAACCTGGCCTTAAGCCTCCATCCTGCCCTGCCGCTGCACTTCCCTGTCAACATCAAGAACATCGACCGTGCAGAAGCACAATTTTTGTTTGTGTTTTTTGGTTCCGTATCTCATCATAACGGGGACGATCTGTTCAAAAATGCTAACATGCCAAAGTATGGGCCCTGCCATGCTTTTCGTACTTTGTTCGAAGACTAACTGCGGTGATGGACCCTAATTATATCCATCCTATACTCTACTGTCTGCTGTACTATACTACACGACAGTGTGCAGACTTTTCATTAGGCTAGAGTAGACTGATTATTATACTGTTAATAAACTTACGGTAAGCCGGCCACTGAGACTCCGGTTCTGCCGGCCCTCTTGGTGATGCAGCTCGGAGTGGCCGCGTGACTGTCCAAAAGCCGTGGCTTTCGGGTTCGAGGTTTTGAGGTTCGGGGTTTGAGGAATGTTGAGGACCTATGGGTTCAGACCAGACTTGTAAGGTTTACGGTTTGCCGGAAAGGTCCTTGGTAGCTGCTTGCTATATAATTAGTAAGTATCATAAATATAGCAAGCACAATAAGAACGTTTGAAAACGCAGCAGCCTTCAGGAGGGAAAGAGCGAGCAGGAAACTGTTGTGAGCATTCACAGGCTCTAGTTACAAGTTTGATCCTTTAATGAAGTCCTTGAAATCTTGATCCCCCCCTCCCCCCCCTCTCTTCTACATCTCTCTCACTCTTGTTTTCGACTCTCGACATCGAAGTCCTCAACCATGGCACACTTTCTCGAGACTTTTGGACGGCTCGAGCAGAGGCGCCAGCCGCGGTCTGCGTTGTCACCTCCCTGAGCAACCTGGGCAGCTTCAGGTGTCTTTTTGCGATTTGCGAAAGGCTGAATCGGACAATCCGACATGATTTCTTGTGAGGTTTCTTATTATAAAAGCTATACTGTAATATACCCCCGAACTCTATGGCAGTTAGGGTGCTCCGTTACAAAACAGTGCACACGATGAGGGTGGCAATGATGCTGGCGATGATGATTATTCATATCCTGCTGGTGGCGCTGTCGTGCTGGTCGGTTTGGGCGTGGCCGTATCTATTCTGGTGGGTGTTTTTGGAGCCGTCGTTCAAGCTCGCGTACGAATGTGGGCATAGCCATTGCCAAGGTGGTTCGGTCGGTTGGTGTTGTTGTTGTTGTCGTCGCTGCTGCGGCTGCTACCAACTGCTTCCGCATCTTTCGAATTCTTGCGACATGTGGTTAGTAGTAGTTAGTTGCACCAACATGTCTCTACTTCCATTTTGGCTTCTCTACTTTTTAATGCTTTGCGTTTAAGGTGCCCGAGGCGCTGTGTGTGCCAGGTATCACATGAGCGTTCGACACATCATGCGGACAAGTTCTAGACACATTTATCACAGGCTTGACGCCTAAAAGTTGTTTCTGGCATGGGAAAGGGCTCTTTAAGACGATTCCTTGTTCTTCTGTGCCGGACTTGGCATCGTCAAAGGGTGAGCCTGCTCTTTGTTTAAGACACATTTTTTTGTTACATACCATCCAGCAGACATGTTTCATTGCTCTACTTCTCACCGGACTCGACGACAAGTGATTCATAAGGTTGCTCAATCGTCAGGCGCAAAGTTCAACAGTAAGACTGCGTTGAACTTCTCAGCGCTTCCAGCCTCTCATGCCGCCTGAACTCCAGCCGAATCTTGCTGAGCAGTGGGAGCCCGACTATCCTGAAGTCTTGTCACGTAACTCTCTGAATGAACGCCATAACACGCCCTAAACTCCTAAACCCTACAAAACCAACCGCCTTATCAACCTACACCCTCAAAAACCCTAAACTCCAGAGACTCAGGCACCATGTACTTCTCCAAGCGCGTCGGGGGACAGGTGTCTCGGAAACGGCGCCCAATCCCCAGCGCGCAGGGCTTCTGCCAACACCAGAGAAATGGGAGCTTTTCTTAATGGTGGCCATGACCTATGTCGTCCCTATACTACAGGATTTAGGGTTTGGGGATGGGGCCTATAGGTTCTCTTCTAGTATCCCCGTTTCTATATTGGCTTATAGGAGGCTTCGAGGAGCAAGCTTCTCGGGACAGCGCGGAACGGGTCGGCCCTGCACTGCGCGCCTCAGCGGAAGAGTTCTGCTCTAAGAAAATAGCCAGTGGCAAAAATTCCGGAAAAGTGCAGTAAAACCAAGCTATCTAGTTTTGAATAGCAATCAACAGTATTCATGAGAATAACAATGCTAGTATCGTAATGCTGCTAGTACGAATACGAAGAATGATGATGGTGATGATGCTGATGACTACTGTTTTTATGCTAAGAGTAATAAGAAGAAGAACCTAAGTACTCATATTCAGAGAGCGGTGAATAGTAGTAGCTTAAGCGTTATTTACAATACGAGTAATTATCACAGTGCTACAACATCCATCAACCCTAAAGCCGACACCATGCACCCTCAGTCAAACCTCGAACACTTTGCCTCGCCTGGAGTGTCCGAGTGTGAGCGCCGAAACCTTAAACCCTAAACCCTGAAAGCTCGGGACCTTCTCTTGCCATGCCAGCTTCGTGCGAGTGTGTGAGTCGAAACCCTCACAGGATGACCCTCTAAAGCGAGGCTGCGGAGCCGGTATGAGAGCTTGCCATGGCTT